ATATATATATATATATAACCATATTTTATATTAATAATAGAAACAAAATTGTTTAGCTTTTGAGAAAGTAGGTAGATTGTCCAACTTCGTTAATTTGTTGTCATTTATGTGTTTATTATGTTTTATTTTAGATTTTGTTTGTTGTGTTTCTAAAAAATTTTTTTTGAAGAAATTTGATTCGAAGGGGATTAAGGTTCATTATTGTGTTGACATATTGGGTTCAACTTTAGATGATTTGGAGATCTATAAAAAAGGGATGAGTCAAGAATAAATAAATGCAATTTCTTTTTTATAAATTTAAGAGAAATTTATAAATATGATAAGAAAGAAGATATTGAAATGATTTTAACTCATAAAATGTTAATTAAATAGTCCATTAGATTTGAAAATATCATAATATATAAAAATTGTTATCTTTCTGATTAACATTTATTCTTGTCTACGTAATTATTTTAACAAGGAATAGATTAAATTTTACATGTTTGGACTTGATAAATTAAGAACAAATGAATTCCTTTGTGAATCCTAGACAAACTTATGATTCTTTCTATTTTTAGAGAATTATTTCTCTCTTCTATGTGATGGAATGCCTATTTTCATGGACACCTTACCAGTGGGTAAAATCATGAGTACATGACTATATCTTATCAAAAGGTCCTCCATCCTCGTTTAAAGTGTCAATTTGCTACTTTTTTTTTTTTTTTTGCAACTCATTCGTTTGCTATTGAATTTAATTAGTCTTGCATCAATAAGTTAAAATATTACGAATTACATTGACTGTGTAATATTATTGTGCAAAAGTTTTTGAAAATTTCAAGTGACATACTCTTCTATCCAAGCTTGAGCTGGCATCATGATCTTTGGCATTGATGTTGTTTCTTCTTTGAATATAGGCGAGAAAGATATGCCCACATTTATTTTAATGAATGAAAGAAAATTTCTGAAACTAGTTAGTGACAGACATCTCCTTCTTCGAATCGAACATGTAGATTAGCACATTAATGTCTATACTCGATATGTTTTTTTGTTGAATTCCTTTATGAATGAGTTATAAAATGATATTTTATCTTTTAGCCATATTTTATATTTTGGGTCTCGGAACCAAGTCTGTTAAGAGTTGTTAGTTCGTTAAAATAATTAATTAGTTATTATTAGTTTATTAGATATTGTTGTTAAATCTAATAAGTTTGTATATAAAGCATTTGTCCACTTCTATGTATCTTTAATCAATC